GGGGGGGGGTGAAAGAAATAGACAGAGATACTGAGTATTTGTGAGACAGATAGATAGATAGATAGAGATAGATAGATAGATAGATAGATAGAGAGAGAGAGAGAGATAGAGATAGAGAGAGAGAGAGAAAGGGGAGGGAGACTAGATGTGAGCAGGGGGAGGGGATAAACACTAAACACGATACGAACGACCCACATGTAGTAGGCATGTAGTTGGAGAGAAAAGCAAACCGTTCCCTTAATTGATGAGTCTGCAACAACAGATGTTAAATTCAATATTTTTTTCTCGTTTTCACTGTGCATCCATTATTTTTGACAATTCACCCAGTTTCATAATATTTTTTTATCTCTTTATTTATCCAGCTGTATATTTATTTTGGAGGGTTGTCACAAGTTATTGTGAATAAGAATATGAGTTTGGGCAGGGATGGGAGCAGGGATACTGGTTGAATGGAATTGATGTCCACAGGGAAGGCATACGACTGATCTAGCGTCTAGCGTGGCCCGAGAAATGAAACACTTTGAGGGGGACGATTATTTATCGAGACCGCACGAGGGTCGATCGTTTGTCTTCATTTTTAATGTCTTGCACGTTTCGAGAATACTTGACAATATCAAATGTATTGGCTGATAGGAGTCGCTTCGATTTTGTCGTGAAGAGATGAATGTGACACATTTCTTTATGGAACTGAATGATTTTTGTCCTCAAAGGCCACTTCAATGGTTCAGTTGATACTTGGTCTTATATTGTATAGCAAATAGGTCTGCATCTCCAATGGAGAGATCTTAGACATGGGTTTTTAAAGGGGTTTCGGGGTTCTCTGCCCGCTTATCTCGGTCCAAAAATGGCCTTTTTCCACCACCTTTTCTAGTAGTTGAACGTTGCTTGCCGGACCTCCCTGCTATAAAATACTCTGCAACAAAACACATTGTCTCTTGTCATTCTGCCTGCAGCAGTAGTTTTGGTTCGAAGTTGGGTTTTTATGTCATTGTTCCTTTTTCTGTTAGGTCTCCCCCTTCCTCTCTCCTTTCCTGGTTTGCTTCCCAAATTATAAATGCTTCTCGAATGGCGGTCCTATCAGGGAATGTTATATTCATAGGTCCAGCCCATTGAATGACCTTGCAGTCTTTATAATGCCGTGTTTAATCATATCATACTACATCACACCGTTTCCCCCACTTTAAAAATAT